CTGGTCCTTTGCTGGTTTATGCTGGTCCTTTGCTGGTTTATGCTGGTCCTTTAGCTGGTTTAAACTGGTCCTTTGCTGGTTTGTGCTGGTCCTTTGCTGGTTTATGCTGGTCCTTTTGCTGGTTTGTGCTGGTCCTTTGCCAGCACATGACTAGCATAAACCAGCAAATGACCAGCTAAAACCAGCAAAGGACCAGCACAAACCAGCAAAGGACCAGTTTAAACCAGCAAAGGACCAGCATAAACCAGCAAAAGGACCAGCATAAACCAGCAAAGGACCAGCACAAACCAGCAAAGGACCAGCTTAAACCAGCATCCCAGCGTCAAAACATACCTAACCAGCATATGCTGTTTTTTTTCAACAGGGTTCATTGAAGTGATTACCTTATGGCTATCTTTTAAATAGCATTGCTTGTTTATTATTTCAATAATTGTCATTAGTAGTATCAATACAAAAACAAAACATTGCTATAGATCTATACATGAACAACCGTGTACAAAATAGGTGAAACTGTGAGGAAACCACATGCAAGAGACTGAAAACAAGACTATCGCTTACCTTGTATGTAAACAATAGTGCCGTTCCCAACTGTTCTGAGATATGGAGGTGGGAAGAGAATCTCGATCTCACAGCGATAGAGGTCTGTGTCGTTCCCTCGCAGTCCAGCGATGATCATGTCCACTCTTCCAGAGCTAATATTCCCTCTGCAATTAACTGTGCCATCTGTTGTAAAGTAGGGCTCAGAGAGGTTGACATAAGCGCTACAGAGACTCTCACGGCCGTGCAAACCTTTGTACAGAGACACCTGCATTTCCTCTGGCTTTAACTTTGAACTGAAGGAGCAGCGGAGAGGGACTTCTCCATCTTTCCCAACCACACGATACGGCTGAGACAAACGCAGAGCTGGAAACAAAACAAAAGATCATCAGATATAACCCAAATACTGTTTTTTTGTTTTGTGTGGGTGATAATTTAACTTCATAACATTCATATTTCAAGTACAGAAAAGTTTTAATCTGAATGAACATTTATGACAAAAGTACTTCAAGGTTCACATTAAACTAATATTCCATATACTAATATAATATGCACATATAAATAATATTCCAAAAGAGCCTCAGAATTCTGTCTGAAAAGAGGATCCGGATGTTGGAAGTTGTACATTTAGGTCAAAGTTTGACCCACTTCACTTCAGTTTTGCTACATATTAAAAGAAACATCCTAACTGTCATAGAACAAAGGATAATAGATCAATTCTTCATAAAAAAGAGTAATTATTAATCAAATGTACTTTAGGATTCAAGCTGTTTTGCCACACAGGGGTAAAGCTGTTACCATCTCTAGACTATCTGTGCTTGAAAAGCAACAAACATTTGAAGCTCAGCAGGTACTTACCCAATCCCAGTGGGATATATATAAAGATTCTAATAAGTGTGATAATCATTGTGTCATGTAATAACTGTGGAGGTATCCCCCCTGTCTCTTTATACTGAGTGAGTTCTGGAAAGCTTGTGACGTAGCAGGAAACCTCAAGCTGACTGCAAATGCCCGTAAAGTGCTGAAAATTTTTGCAAATAATGAAGCAATTTGCACAATATGTGTAATCAAGGGGAAAAAAATCGAATGAGCAGAATGAGACTCGAGCAAAAACAGTACAATAGCAGTGGAACTGGAAAATATGGTTAAGGGTGTGGTTTAACTATCACAAAGCCCAGTGGTCAAGAGCTTATTTGACTCTCTGAATTTGGGAAAAATATTAAAATCAGATACACTTGAAAGCGGATTCAGCACTTTCGAAATTAGTTAAATAAATTCTTTTTTTTTTCTTTCTTGCAATTGCAATTGTTCAACATATCTACTCATCACTTGTTCAGTATTGCATCATATCAGATTACAGGGAGTGTTGGAAACTGAAAATGTCTGAAAAGAAATCAAATGAAAGGATGATTAAATATTATTAGGTTAAATCTGAATTTTATTAATCGTATCAAAAATTTTTCCATTCCCTTGGGCTACACTTTATATTAGGTGATTTTACCTACTATTTTCTTATATTACAATTTAAAGCTTTTGATATAGTGCATTTATTGTGTACATACTGAACATGCTGTTCTGTGAAACTAAAATTTGCATTGCTGCATGACACTTTGGAGAACAATGGTTACCGTCTTGCCACCCACCACCCTCCTCTTTTTTCCTGTAATTTCCTGTCTCGCTGTTGCTAACAAAGTGTACTGATATAATAGTATATTTACAATGTTTACAGTGGGGTGCAGATTTGCATGTTGCGTGTATTGCATAATAAGGGCAACACTGTAATTACAGATGCAGAAGTTACAGACACTAAAACTGAGGTGGGATCTTCTATAGTTGTATTGTTGTTGTAGCCTAACAGATCATGCATTCATTGTCTTAAGCAAAATTATATTGATTAGCTTGACTTTCTAATTAAATAGATTGCATTTTTCTCTAAAACATCATTTCAAATCCTACACAAGTCACACTGAAGAAATGCCAGAATCAAAGATGTTTGCAACAATGAGCAGGTTTTATTTAAAGTCAGAGCATCATAGTGTTTCAGTGTAAAAACACACCCACTGAGGATCAAAATCATTCTAATATTGCAATTTGCTGCTTAAGAAACATATATTTTTCTTATGATCAATGTTGAAAACAGCTGAAGTATCCAGCAGGTGAAAACTCATTCATTTTTTGTGGAAACGGGTCATACATTTTCTTCAGGATTCTTTGATTATTAGAAGGTGCTAAAGAACAGCATTTATTTGAAATATATATTTTTTCCCCAACATTATAATAATTAAACATCTAAGATTAAATGTTTTTACTGTTTTTACAGATTTTGAATGCATCCTTGCTTTATTAGACCCCTTTAAAAAAAAAAAAAACTTGCTAATAAGAATTGTTTCTTCAGCAACAAATTAGCATATTTGGAATTATTATTTAAATTTTAAAATATATTAAAATGGAAAACAGTTATTTTATAATAATATGTCTCAATATTACCATTTGCCTTTATTTTTCATCATATAAATGCATACTTGATGAGAGGTTTAATTACTCTTGTCTAAACCGTTGACCCCCAGTGTACATACACTGTATATATATATATATATATATATACAACATCAATAGATACAAGAACAATTAGTAGATCTGTTTAATATACTCTCTGGGCAGTACTGCTCAGCTGATAGGAGGTACAAATGTAACAGCCAGTGGAAGACTGACATATTGCTACGCTGCTGATATTTGTCTTCAGCGTCGTCTGAATCCTCTTGGTCTTGTGTTTATGTAGGGATTCTCAGCTGGCTCTGTGTTCTTGAGTTTATACTGAAATAAAAACACCATATCAGCAATTTCATAGTGTGATAACTTGAAACTTTTCAACCTTGATTTTGTGTGATTCCAGATATACACTTTGAATGCATATTAGGTTGGTTATGAATTTATATTACTGCAAAGAACTGCATGTGTGAGTAAATGTGTGGTTGCAGATATGGATACTTACTTTGAGGTAACGGCCAAAGACAGTGATGAACAGACTATATACAACGATGACCACACAGCCAACAGTAAGTGGCAGTGTGTGATCAGTGGGACAAGTGACAGTTGATTCTTTGGGCAGCAGAGCGTCTGAAATCATATAAATAATATAAACAATACTAAATAAAACATACATTGATGTATTTGACACTTTGTAAAAGTGCTGCTTCTTAACTGGTTTAAAGAAATCCAGCTGGTCTGCAGTTTGGGAGACCAGCTAAGACCAACGGAATATCACAGGTTGGTTTAAACTATTTAAGCAGGGGATCAGACCAATGACTTTTCACTAATCAAATCATAAACTGGAATTAAACACATTTAAATGTGAATTAAAATGAAGTAATTGCTTTTTGTTTTACCTTTAATTAGTAATATAGTCAGGGAAACCTCTGTCCAGATTTGTGAGGCGATTATGCAGTTGTAGAGTCCTGTGTCACTGGCTTCAGTTCTTAAAATCTTATACGAGACTGAGGAGTTTTGTATGTGCACCTGAAACCGCTGCCATGATTGATTACTGTCCACATCACTCAGGATTGTTGAGTGCAGCTTTGTATCTCCCTTGTATAGAGTGATAGATGGTTTTTCATGCTCTGCAAGTGCTGGACAGGACACAAATGCTGTTGCATTTTCATCCACTCTTTTTATTTTGGCTGAAAGATAAAAGCATATATGCACATTTTGATTTTGAAAGAGAAAGTTAGAGATTGAGGATGTGGTGCACTGCACATGGAGTGGAGTTGGCTGTTTCCTCTGCTGTTTTTACCCCTCTTTTTTGTCTATTGATTTGTTTCATTAATGCAAAGTTTAATTTTGTAATATTAATTTAATTTATACAACTTTTTTTATACAATATAAATATTCTGGAGACACTTAGTTATAAATATCCACAAGGATGCAGATTCAAATGCTGCACACCACATAAATAAACTGCACAACTGAATTAAGAAGCAACAGAAAATCTCAAACCTTTCTCATGATAGCAGCTTGAGGAGGATTCAGTAAGTTCAGCATAGAAGAGGGTCAGGAGAACATAGGTCATTGCTATGATCATCTGCTCAAGCATTTCTGCACTGCTGCTCCGAGCACGTGAAAACAGGGGAATATAGCTTCAGAGATTTCACCAACAGATGCACGGGTCAGAGGGGGTGAGGGGGTGGGGGCTGTTTCCTAGCTGCGTCACAATTTAACACTATGGAGGACTGAGGAAAGCAGCCAAATATTTGACAGGGGACTCAAATTTACACTCTGGAGAAAAATGAAGTGTTGCCTTATGGCTATCTTCTTTTGTTATTAATGTAATAAAAACAATGAGTAGAATAAGAAAACTGGCAAAAAATACCATGAAATTAACATTATTCCAACACAAACAAACTTTATATAAAAAGAAGAAACAAAGAAAACAAACACAGACTAGATATTTTCCAACTTGCATGTGTAGGGTTTTTAACAGCTGAAAACGTTATTTAGGATGTGAGTAATTTTCCCTGTTTTGGATATTTACATATCCGAAACATTTATTCTGTTTTTTCTTCACTTTGTGCATTGAAACTTCTCGGCATCATCATGCACAAATACACTGCCTTGCAGTGCAGCATTGCAGTGATAAGAGGAAATGAACGATAACAAAAGGAAAGAAGAGGTGTTGTGTTGTGGTTACATTTTACATTCAGAGTTCCAAGTACATTTTACCATCAGCATTCTGTAACATTCTGCAACTTCTGACTGTATTTACGAGCAGGCAAAGGCTTCTCTACCTCTGAATGCAGTCTTGCATTCCAGAGGTGTAGAGTGTTTGAGTAAATGTAATTAATTACTGTACTTGAGTATCTTTTTGGATATTCTGTAGTTTTACTGAGTATCAAAGATATTAGTAACTTTTATATTCTCTACTTCACTACATTTTTGAATAAGCATCTGTACTCTTTACTCCACTACATTTGTAATTAGTGTTGCAATTACACATTACATTTTGCATGATACCTAGCTTTTTCTGCAGCAGTTTATTTCTGCTACAAAAGAACTACAGGGCACTGAAAGTACAATATCTTGTGCGTTTTGCCCTTACTCACCCAAACTTGTCAACAAGGCTACTTTACGTGAATGTGAGTTCCTTAGCAACGGCAATGAGGCCGAAACCAGCTCATCCAGTGCAAAAAGGCTTTGAATTTTTAATTTTACTTAACATTATTTTTTCACTATTCTCAAGTATTCTTATCCTGTTATTATTCTAAAAGATCAACAATCAAATTAAGAAAGAATTATTTTTTTATATATATCAAAAATTACAAAAATAAATTACATTATATTATTTATCTGTTATACTGAAGAGACATTTTTGAAGGGTTTTGTTGTTGTTGTTGTATTTTTTTTTAGATGTTCAGTTTTATTTTGGTTTTAGAAAATCAATGTGATCGCTGTTCTCACATATCAACTCTTTCTTGTTTTTCACTGGCATGTCTCTTTGATTAGTGCATCTTTGAGACTATATTCAGTATAAGTAAAATACTTAAGTACTGATAAATTCAGATACTTTAAGACTTTTACTCAAGTTGTTTTGAAATTGGTGACTTGTAACTTGTAGTGGAGTAATTTTCACTGTAATGGTTTTCAGGTACTCTTTACACCTCTGTTGCATTCTCTACTAGTCTATAAGTCATTAATCAATAATGTACATCCTGTTCTAAAACAATTTGAAAATGATGTCCAAGTAGGAAATGATTACTCAACCTCAACCAAGATTATCAACACTGCTAATTGTAGTGTGTTTGTGTAGTATTTTTTATGTATACTCTCTTCAAAATGTCAAATATACTGGTGCTTTAATTGCTTAATATATTCATTCAATATTTATAATTGCTACACTTAAAATTGCATTAAACT